GGCTGGTAGCTTGAAATCTGCTATGGAAACTGGCAAATGCTACAAATGAGGACACCCCCACCCCCACCCCGCCTATCGGCTGTTCAACATTTACTAGCATCAGCGGGATATTGTGAGAACACTCAGCAAGGTGTGGTGCATCGTCATTTGTGAAGGATCGCTAATTGCCGTCATAATTAGGGTCTCCATACGTATAGGGTCTGGAGAGTTTCTGTATACAGTGAAACCTGTGAGAGCCAGAACGCAACAGGACTGCCTCGTTTTTCCGGGTCTCGCAGGTTTTCGGCCTTTGACGGGGAAGTCTTACCACTTTTCTACCACTTGTTTTAGAGGAAGATATTTGAGTTTTCCTTCTCTGACAGTTCTCACAAGGATTCCGCCTTACACAGGTTCTGCTGTACATGGGACAAACAATTTTCACTGAAAACATTTTTTGAAAAATTTCCTGTGACCACAGGCTCCAAGTGTTAAAAATATTTGTACTGGTTTGACTTCTCAAAGACCGGTCAAAAAACCAAATAAGTACTATTATAATCTGATAGTTATTCACATAAGAAGCAGAAGAGGCTCTAGGGGCCTCCTTTCAACCAATATCCTTCTTTGGCACCTGGGACTTTTTATACACTGGGCATCGCCAGGATGGGGAGAGGTGAGCCTGGCTTTATACTGTGAAAGGAGGGTAGGAAGGGAGGTGTAAACCCTGCAACTCCAAGTACACGTGTGGAAGATGAAGACCGGGAAGTCGGTTTTCCTGGAATGATCCATGACCACAACCCCTGGGAAAGTCTGTGTGGACCCCCAGTGGCGGAAGTACCCACAGTTTGAAGACTGCTGGGCTCGCCTATGCTGCTGGACACATTCAGCCCATTTGCAGCAGGATATAGTCAAACCTGTGAAAGCCGAAACCTGACAGAGAAGCAAAACTCAAGTATCTTCCACTAAAACGAGCAATCGACAAGTGGTAAGACTGCACCCTGTCAAAGGCAGAGAACTTGTGAGACCTGGAAAAGCAAGGCAGTCCCATTGAGTTCCGGTTCTCACAGGTTTCACTGTAACTGTATTGTAAGTGATGGTGTAGATGCCTGCCTCCCCCCTGTGCTGGGTCTGGCTAGCGTGGGTCACTAGTCACTGAGAGGTCAGGAGACAGGCTTGACTGAGTGCTCTGTTGCTGCACGGTTAACAACCCTAAACATCCCCTCCACTCGAACAATGCTCTCCAGAAATAATCAGAACCCGTGACCTTGCACAGAATAACCTTTCAGGCATTAACACATCAGGCCCCCCCGCACCCGCCCCAACACACACACACACACAAAGGACTGGAGTTCTCAGATTTATTTGGGAGGGCCTTTTATCTATTTGGGATTAATCTCTCTCACAAACAGCACCATATTCTGTGTTCCGTGAACTTTCCTGTTTGGCAGACTCAGGAAATCAGCTGGATCACATTCTTACCCAAACCGTGACAGACTAGGAAAGATTCTCTCTGACACTGTCACTGACCCCACTGACACAGCAAGTTTTTAATTTTGGGTGGGGGGTGGAGAGCAGGGTGAGTGGTGACAGGTTGGCTTGAGTTGAGAGCCTGGAATCTGTCATCATCTTTTAGTAAAACTTCCTCCCTTCAGTCCCCCCCTCCAACATGCAAAGCACACTTTTGACCTTTTTCTGAACTGAATTAAGAAAGGACATGAGCGTGACTTGAAGTGGCTTTGAAATTTCAGGTGTTGCCCTAGAGGACAGTGGCCCCGTGTTCTTCTCTGGTGGATCCACAGCGCCAGAACCACAGTATGTGCTTGGCATAACTGGTCTCCTCGATACATCACGTTTCTCATTTCCAAAAGACAAGTCTATCTAGATATGTAATAAAACCTTAAGTCAATCCTGACTTTCTGCTCTCATTTCTTTGCAGTGAAATGCAAAATGGAGGATGATGAGGTGGCTTCCGCTAAGATTTTACCACCTTAACCACTGCTGATGTCTTTTCCAGTCTGAGGTCCAAGTACCCCGTGCAAGTAAAATGTCCAAATTATGGTTCCTCCGTCGTGATTTCTTTAACAATAAGACCTGGTACACGAGGAAGCGGAATCTTTTCCACAGATAGGGAGGATTCATTGCAAACGTGCTTTAGTGTAAATAGTTTATCAGAAGAAAGTATCAAAGTCTTAACTTTCTGCAAAAAATCCAAAAATTTCATTCTTCCAGTTATTTCCTTAGTGCTTCTGGAGGCTCCTTCTACACCAACCACCACTAGAATGTACAATGAAATCTAGTTCCAAGGAACACTGAAGTGCTCTTGTTATCAGTTTCCCAGCTGCCTTTGCAATTAAACTCCTAGATCTCTAAACTGGGTTTTCAGTTTACCTGGTGACTACTATTTTCATTAAAAAAAGACATCATTGCCTGTGATTATTTCCAAAGTAGACAGGCTCTTAACTTTCACTGCAAGCCCAACATTTAAGCCCAGACAACAGTAACAGAAAGAGGATCTTTGTTGTCTAGGCCCCATAATATTATAGAAAGTTCCTCATTTTATGGGTAAAGTTAACTTATTGCCCTCGTTTGTTCTGTGGTTTGCTGTTAACCAGAATTCTCCTGTTCAAAATGCCAGACTCGGCCTCAGGGCAGATTCAAAAGCCTAGTAGTAGTTGTGTTGGGTTGTTTTGACAAGCTACCACACATCTTAAGTAAATAGTAAAGCCTTTATTTGTGTGTTAAGAACAGCATTTTGAAAATAAAACCTATCTGCCTAAGCTTTACAACCTTTTAAATTTGTGATATTTATATATAGTCATTTATGGTACACATTGATTGATTGTCTTGAAATTTCTTTAACTTTTTTTTATACGTATGCGACAGTCAGCCAGGGCAGGAGAAACATTATAAAACACACATTAATACATTTAATAAATATATATTATCTATCAAAAACGAGCCTTAGCTCTTTATCAATTAATAAAAAGCACCTGCTGAGAACTCCTGTAAGCTGGTATAATCATCGCATCATTGGATTATAAAACCCACAATGCTTCCTTTCAGTGGGGTTCAGCCTGAGTCATTCAGCTCAGCCTTGGCCAACCAAGAAGCTGTTGACTGAAGACCATGCCAATTTCACCCTTGTTCAAGCAGCCCTGCCGGAGTCTGTGATGAAAGCACTGGACCTCCAGCTTTCAACCACCGGATCTTAAAACCTAGAGACACTTGAGACACATAGAACTTTTCCAGTTTGTAAGTTCTCAGGACTGATTCCCTCACTCCCCACCTGGCCGTCCATCTCCAGTGGAGAAATCCAGGATGGAATTACAGTTCTCCATGAAAAGGGGGTACAGAGTGGCTGTTACAGTCCCAACGTGATTTTAATAAGCAGACACAGAAAGAGTTGTGCTTACAACTAGGTATTTTGATCACAGATGCTCTCCTTCCAATCATTTTCCCCAAACAAGTCTTGTTTACATAAACATATCTTGAACAGAGGTGCCATTTAATTCTGTATTGAAACTCTGCTCCGCGGGGGCAGCTGGCAGCCACAGTCTTTTGGCAAAGATGGCTCTTTGTACTCATCAGGTGAAATCACTAGAAAAATAAGTTCTCTCCCTTCTCCCATCATGCCCTGCCTCTGGCCCAACTGTGAGGCTACTGAGCTCACTCTCGGCCTTAAGATGAACAGAAAACAACACCCAGAAGTGTAATAACATACCAGAGGTTAAAACGGGGGAAAAAAGGGGGTCTCATTAAGTGAGTTTCCTGCGGCTTAAAGATGGCTCCACTTTTATGGTGGTGAAAGGTTACTTCCCACTTGTCGCCACTTAGGCCGTGCTCACCTTGTACATTTGGAAACAAAGAACTGAGAGAGAACGCGATCATGTGAACGGCTCTCTCTGCAAGGGGGAGGCTTGTAGACCAAGTCACTGGCGGGATCATAGAGCTCCAAAGGACTCCAGGGAGCGGGGGTGAGCAACCATTTCCTGGCACGAGAATGTGGAAGGCTGTTGTTTTGCACTGGATTGGACCGAGGTGTCCGGAGATCTCTTACTTTTCAAAATACTGGGTCTGCATGCAGCCACCCCTGCCCTCCACCCCCAGCCCAGGTCCTAGCATCTTGCCCTCCCACCCCTTCCCCACTACTGCAAGTTTTCAATCCACCCGATGTCGCTCTGCCCAGAGGACTGAAGTCTGATTTTCTAGAAGCAAGCACATGCTCTGGGCAGGGGCGGTGGTGCTTCTGGAAGTCAGGTCGGGGTGGCATTCTGGGGCCATGCTTTCTCTTCACCATGCGTGGGCATACAAGGAAATGCAGTAGCTGGGAGGAACACTGGCAGGAGGGCCACAGTGGGGATGGCCAGGTTGGCCTCAGTTTCCCCAGTGCCCTGTGAGGATGGGAGTGGGAAGCAGGGGAGGGGACACAGCAGAGACTAGGCCTCGAGAAAAATCAGAAGGTTTATTAAAACATACTCAGCTCAGACATATTGGCTTATGAAGAGGTCATTCCCCCCCCCAAACACTAACCTTTTTCATTTTCTTTAAAGGTTAAAGGCTTATGGGTTGTTTTATAGAAAAAAAGCAATATAGTTATTCCAGCAGATGCAAAAGGACCCACCCTCATTTACATTCCATGCCGTCAGGTTAAAACCCTTTGCTTTAACTCCTCACTAACGATTATGCTGGCCAAACAGTGCAGAGAACATGGGGGCTTTTAATGGCCGAGATGTTGGAAATGTCACATAACAAAGGAATGATTTGCTCAGGACAGATGGAAACCATGACAGAAACAATGGGCTTTGAGAACCATTTTCATGGAAACTGCAGAAAAACAAGAGAGAAATGTCCCCCACACCCTCCAAAAGCAGCAAGAAAGCCCTGAGCGATCCTCTCCACCCTGGAACGTCCACCTCATCCATCCACGGGAAGGCCCAAGAACTCACTGCATGGCAGGCCTCCGACAGGCACCCTGGGAATGCCCACCACGGACATCCTGCCTCCCCGGGGGTCTTCAAGCTGGTGGCCCCATTGGAGCTTTTGAAATGAACATGGAAATAAAATTGGGAAAGGGCCTGGAGAAGCACCAGTAAGTGCAGGAAGCGGGAGACATGATCAAGAGAAGAAATGATGACATGGAGCCATCTTCAATCTGCTGCTCCACGCCAGAATATTTCTGCAGCTCTACCAGGGAGGGGCGGGGCTCGCTTTCTTGCCATAGGCGCTAGGGAAGAGGCCCATTGAAGGAACTGTGGTTGGCCACCATTTGCTAAAGGTGACGGTCACGTGAAACGCCCAGATAACCTTCTCTTCTTTGGCACATGCCCGGGTCCTTCCACCAGCACGGGTTGTAAAGCTTACCCCATGATTCAGTTGGGCCTGGTCTTGGACTCACACCCACACCTTCCTTATCTGCTCCTGACTCCTCTGAAATGTGCAAACCACAGGCAAGCTGGTGGGAAAGCCCCCATCAGCACTCAATGAAAGGGTCATCTCCGGGAGGCCTCGTGGATGGAGCACTTGCTGAGGGGGATAGGGGACCCCGACATTCTACCAATACCAGCCCAGCCCACCGGCTGCGAATTTGGTTCTGTTCAACCCCCAGAGGATGAAATCATCTTCCCAGCCACGTTTTCAAGTGAGCCTATTACTATTTGCAATTAGCTTTGCTTTAGTTTGCAGGGACTGAGGTTGGTTTGGTATTACATATTTGTGTGTGTGGCAGGTGGGGGGAGGGCAGTCGGTGTTAGCTTTTCGGTTCAGCAGTGTTCACATTTACACGAAATCCCCTTAGCTAGGATTTCCAAATCTCCTGGCTGTGAGGCGGCCTTATGCAGCTACTGTTACTGATTTCTCCCTCAAGAAAGACATGGCCAGGGAATAAAATCGGTAAGAGAGATTCTTATTCTCTGGAACTTAAAAGTCTTTCACCAGAGGTGTCTTCCAGTGTAACTTGGCGGAGCAGTTGGGATCTGGAAACAAGGATAACACACTAAGAATAAGAACTCTGTGCTTGGCAAAGTCAACATAGAAACCAACGCGTTAACAATGTGGCAGAGATAAGTTAATTTGCTTTTACCTAGGCAGGCTGAATTATCCCCCAAGAAAGCCAGAGCCATTGTGTGTGATGCTGCTCTTGTTTTCGTGAGGCCATTTCCCTTTTTCTAGAATCCTCCACCCCTAATGAATATAAGTTTCCTGACCCAGAAACTCACTTCTTTTTCTAAGTCCCTGGTGCTTTCAGGCACAGGGTCCTGAAAGGGACCGGGAGGGCTTAGGAGTGATTGGTGGGCAGTTTCCTAGCCATATTTATGATAACACCCAGGCCAAATGCTTGTGAGTCAGGGGCTCAGCTTTTCTTGGCACCTGACGATAAACCAGCCCCGTGGATGGCGAGAGGTCTTAAGAATGCAAATCTGTGAGTCTGTTCGTCTGTTAGCCCTTTCCAAATCAATGTCTAGTGTTCAAAGGGCCCTGAAAACCTTAGTTTCCAAATAAATCAGGATTTCCCTCTAGAGCTCCAAGACCATCCCTAACTTACATCAAAAGAAAATGCTCAGGTTGTGTTATGGATTTGGCACATGAGAGAAAGAATGGAAACCCAGTTTACACATGTAAACTGGCTCATGCGTCGTGCCTGAAAGCATGTAGCTATGTTTGGAAAGTAAACGTGGGAATGAGTGCATTTTTGGATTGTTGGAGGAACAAAATTATGTAATTCCACGGAGGCGAAACAGAAACGATGATGATTGTGCTGAAGGTCTGTTTGGCATCAGATAGTAAACCACTCTTTTTTTTTTGGTGTGTGTTCCTGCTAGAGAAATGGCAATGGCTTCAATTTCTTAAGACATCTCTTAGGGAGTGGGGATGGAGAGGGGTGGAGAGCTCAGTACCCAGCTGGGCACACAGATGCGGGGGGTACAGGAAAGGGGGCCTAAATAAGACAGGATGTCAGCAAAATCTGCCAGGGCTTCCTAATTCTGGGCTTTTCCTGAAAGTCACCTCCCAGGGTGAGGGTGGGGGCGATGTATAGTGAAAGCCAAATAATTCACACTGGCTGCAAGAGCCTCTCAAGAAATACAGGCTCTCTGCAACGAATCTCCGCGTGGTTAGCTAAGTAGAGGTGGATTTTAACGTGTGTGCAGAAAGGGGGCGGAGAGGGAAAGAAGAAATATGTAAGCGTGGCATGCATTCTAGCTGCAAGGGGTGTTGACTGGAGCCGCCGTCTTGCAGGCCACATCGCAGCCTCCTAGAGCAGTCTGTCCCCAACGAAGCTGCTCCCCAACACTGTACACTCTTAGGCTTCCTGCCAAAACATCACATCTTGATACTTACAGTCCCGCCATTGAGCACAACGGCCATCTCGGTTGGCTGATACACGTTGCTTCTGAACGGAGCGCTGGGTCTCTTTCCTAAGCTGCCATTGCGAAATCCCGCCGTTCGGAGAGCTGAGGGAGGGACAGGGAGGGGCGGCAACACAACACCAAAAAAGAGACACAATTTTTCTCCTCTGTTTTCTTCCCCTGCATCAATGCTACTCTCCAGTCACACCCCCCTCCCCCACCCCACCCCACCCCACAACTCGCTCCTCCCCTTTGTCACAAGCCTGATTCAAAACAAAAGTCACAAAGGGGCTTTGTTCTTGGGCTCTCGGTGGGGCTGGGAAGTTTGTGGAGTTCAGGGATCTGGCTGCTCTGGAGGGAAGGAGGCCCAGGGCTGAACTGCCACCCCCGGCTCTGTTCCCCACGCAGGCCCTGTAGCCACAGGTGATAAGGACGTGCCGCAGCATCCCTCAGAAGGCCTCCTGTGACAAAAGACCTCCTCAGGTACAGACGACATCCTAGTAAAGTGCAACACCATACCCTCGCTGTTTCTGGAGACACACAGAGGTGGGAAACTGGAAGAACAGGGGCATCGGGCAAGAGAGGGTCGTGCTTGTCGCAAAGTGGTGGGGCAGGGACAGAGGGACTCCCCCACACGTGTAGGTTTTTCTCTAAACAAGAATAAAAGGGAGATCTGCATGAAGCAAAGTTGGCAAAATATGTTAGCAAGTTTTATCTCTGGGCGGTGGCTACACAGCAGTTTCTCATTTTCTGTACTTTTAGGGATTTAAATTTCCTTTTTCATAAAGAAAAGCCAAATCAAAACATAAGCCTGACTCAGCTGTGAGATGGCATCGTCACCATTTTCATTCTCAATAAGGCACTCGTCTTGCTTTGCTGAGAAAAGCCTCGCTTAAAAGTCTTCCCTGAAGGGCGTCACTTTTCTGGCTAAAAAGAAGCAAGAGAGTTTGAGTTTTTGTTACAGATTACCTGGGGCAGGGACCATAATCCCTGATGCTCTAGGTAACTTTCATAGAGTACCATCCAGGGGCCAGGCACTGTAAACAATACTATACATACAGTAATTCACTGAATTTTCATAACATGATAGGTTACTTTTATTACTCCCATTTTACATGGGGTACAGAGAGGTGAAGTAACTTGCCCAAGGTCACACAGCTTGTGTCAGAACCAGCCTTTGAACCCAGGCAGAGAATGTGTGCTCTTAACCATCATACTTAGTTACTTAGAAGGAACCTGAGTTTAAGTGACATCAGGGACAGCTCAGAGTTCCTGGGTGAAGCAAATGGTTAACATGCTCAGCTGCTAAATAAAAAGTTGGAGGTTTGAGTCCCCCCAGAGGCACCTTGGAAGAAAGGCCTGGTGATTTACGTCCAAAAAATCAGCCATTGGAAACCCTATAGACTTGTTGAATGGGAACCTAAACTGCTCTGCAAACCTTCACCGAAAACAATAAAATATTATTTAAAAACAACAACAACAAAAAACTCTATAGAACACAGTTCTACTCTGACACACGTGGAGTCGCCACGAGTCGCAATTGACTCAAACGGCAACTGGTAGGGCCGGACCAGAGAAACTGGGGTGGGATGGGGAACGCATGTTCTAAGGCATACTTATGGAAACCTTTTATGCCTTAGCATCTCCGGGTCTTCAAGCAGCTCATTATACACTGTGCTGAGCAAGGAGATGCCCTTCTTGGGAAGCAGAGAAGGTGAGCTGGGGAGCAGCACTAGGCTGCAGACAATCCATGGACTCTGATTCCTCAACTCCTAGCCTAGACCTGCTTAAGACAGGCCTGGCCTGCTAGGGTGGGAGAATCTCCTTCCAAACACTTTCTCTTCAGAGAGACAAATGCTGGTTCTCCTGCCCACCTGTGGAGAGCCCATCCAGAGTGTCCCTCTCTGTAGTGGCTATTTGCAGCTCTTTTCTGGTGAACACCCCCAGTTCTAGGCCCCTGAACTTTGGCTAAAACTGCCAGCCTTCCTGGCCAATCATTTAGTCCTGGCCAATGAGGACATCACATCTTTCTGGCCACACTGATTGCCTCAGGGAAGGGCAATCAGGTCCAATCAGAGGTAGCCCTGGGATTTTTTCTCAAGTATCCTGGGAACTGGACCTCTCTTCTATTGGGACTCAATGCAAGCTTGGAGCTGTGGGTTGCTGTGATGCTAACAGAGTCAAGAGATAGACTGTCATTATTTGAGCCTCCTGGATCGAACCATTCCTGAAACCCATACCTCAATACATTCCTTTTTTTGTTTGAGACAATTTAAATTGGATTTTATATTACTTGCAACTTCAAGAAGCCAGACTGACTGAGTACACGCTACCCTGACCTGTGTCAGCTCTGAAAAGCTGAACAGAGCTCACTCTAAAGGTGTCCCCACAGGAATCAAAGTTCACAGGTCAAATGCCAGAATTCTCCTCTCTGGCCAGGTTGGCCCTGCCCCAGACACTAACTCAGAGCCTTCCTCCAGGAAGCAGAGGGCCAGTGTTTAAACAGCCCTTGGCCCCAATGAGATCTTAGAGCCCAAATCCTAACAGAAGGAAAGAACACTTTTCTCTCGTGCTCCTTTGAAAGGTGAACATTTAGTGCGCCTTGTTAACACTTTCCAAGATGTGATCCGAGGTGCTACATCCCTTGGTGTATTTTAATCTTTTATCACATACCTCATGCCTTGTTAATGCTTAGTAATAAGCAGTAGGCTGGTGAAGTCCCATATCCCTGTAGGGTCTCACTTGGGGGAAGGAAATATGGGAGCGGAGGCTGCTGAGCCTTGGCAGAGCCACAGGTCAGCCCAGGGAATGCCCTTTCCCTCTCATGAGGACACTGGGCTACTCTCAAGGGGACAGAGCCCGAGAAGCTGGCAGGAAGGTTAAAACGCAAGAGAAACAAGGCCAACCATAGCTCCTGGGCACTGACTATTCTGAGATGCAAGAGCTCCAGGGTACAGCCCTTCTTGGGGCCTGCTTCCCTAAAATACAAGCTTGCTGAGGTCAGCACCAAAGATGCCAACAGCTGTTCTCACCGTGGCAAGGCAGCCTGCCCGGAGGTTCCCCAGCCAGCAAAGTTAGGGTGTCTAGGATAAAGGCAGTCCTAGCCAGGACGCCGATCTAGACCCTCCGTGTGAGCTTTCTGAGGCAGCTGGCCTTGCCTGAGGCCCACCCTGCCTGGTCGCATGTGAATTTTGGTTCTGGAGTGATTCTGCTCTTTTTTATTTCCACAAGTGGAAAAATAGAGATACACTTGGGAGGACCCAAAACAGGGCTATTGAAAAAAAAAAAAAGGTCTGACAACACCCAAAGTTGAGGACCAGTAAACCAACTGCCACTGAGTTGACCCCAACTCATGGAGACCCCATGTGTGTCAGAGTAGAACTGTGCTCCATGGGGTTTTCAATGGCTGGTTTTCCACAAGATTGCCAGGCCTTTCTTCCAAGGTACCTCTGGGTGGACTTGAACCTCCAACCTTTCAGTTAGCAGTGGAGCTCCAAGGTTGGTGAAGAGGTTGGGAAATAGGGCTCTGATGCAGTTCTTTAAGGGGGCATGGTAAATTAGTTTATCTTTCTGGGGGGACAGTCTGGCAGCATGTTCCAAGATTTAAAGTGCAGACTCTGACCTATGCCTACAAATTTTTTGCAAGGAGATAATTAAGTGCACAAAAATTAACGGACAAGAACATTCATTGCAGAGTTGTTTATAATTGCTGTTTGTTGTTGTTGGGTGCCCTTGAGTCGATTCTGCCTCAGAGTGACCCCATGTGACAGAATGGAACTGCCCCGTAGGGTTTTCTAGGCTATAATCTTTACAGAAGCAGATCACCAGGTTTTTCTCTCACAGAGTTGCTGGGTAGGTTCGAACCGCCAACCTTTCGGTTAGCAGTCAAGCATTTAACCACTCTGCCACCGGGCTCCTTGTTTATAATAGTGGAAAGCCAGAAGTAAGCAGAATACCTAGTGGCTCTGCAGGAGAAAGACCTGGCAATCTGCTCCTGTGAAGATTACAGCCAAGAAAACCCTACGGAGCAGTTCTACTCTGTCACATGGGGTCGCCATGAGTCGGCATCAACTCGATGGCACTTCACAACAACTCGTCAACTGAAGATCAGAGAAAGAAATTATGAAAACTGCACATCATTAAAAGGAAAGTGCAGCCCTGCAGTCATGGACGGGGAAAGGTCTCTGTGGTTAATGTTGATTTAAGCAAGCATACTGCAGAACGCCACTTAGACCAGTGCTTTCCACCTGGCCTCATTTTAGGATCATATGGAGAGCTTAAAAAAATGCCTAGGCCCAAAGTCAGACTTCGGAAACCAGAGGCAGGCAGGCAGGCAGGCATTGGCAAGTTCAGCTGCCCAGGTGATTCTAATGTGCAGCCAAGGTTAAGAGCACTGTATTGGTATCGTCATTTAGGTGTATGTGCGCACACTGAGAGATGTCTGGGAAGACTGGAGCAAACCCTTAGCGGTAGCTGCCTCTGGACAATGGCATTTGGGGCCATTTTCATTATTTTTACTTGCTTGAACATTCTACCTGATTATCATTGATCCTTTATCATCAGAAAGGAAAAATAACACTATTTTTGTTTTGGAAAAGGAAGAAGAGGGTGGAAAAATAACCAACTTGGCTTTGGAATGTGTCCGAGTGTGAAACAAATGGGGGTGCAGGCCCCTCCCAGCTCTTCCAGCCCCTATCACTCCCTTTTGCCAGCCTCGATGCTGCTGTATCAACCTGGGGTCCCAAATCCCTTTAATTCCTGGGTCTTATGTGAACACATAAATATTGGTTACGTTGCTCCGAGACAGAGACAGGATGGATGTAATGGGATTCTGAAAAGCAACTCTTCCCTCCCTGGCCTCTGTGTACTTGTAGCATGAGTATGAACAGGGTGCCTGACATCCAGGGCCTCAGTGTCCTTGCTCTGTCTGCTGGGTCTAACGACCTCCATCTGTGGAGGCCCAGAGCTGTCCCGACACCTGGATGAGACGGTGGACAGGAAGTGCTGTAAGATGAGGAAGGTAATTCCGTGGCAGAGTGGTCAAGCCTGCGGGCTCTGGAGCCAGCCCACTGGGGTTCAGAACTTGGCTCTCCCTCCTGGACAAGTCACTTAGCCTCTCTGTGCCTCAGTTTCCTTTCTGTAATACGGAGATAATAAACCAAAAACCAAATCCATTGCCATCAAGTTGATTCTGACTCATAGCAACCCTATAGGACAGAGTAGAACTGCCCCCATAGGGTTTCCAAGGAGCGCCTGGTGGATTTGAACTGCTCACCTTTTGGTTAGCAGCTGAGCTCTTAACCACTGTGCTACCAGGGCTCCATGTGCCTAAACCTACCTGGTCGGGTTATTGTAGGAATTTAATGAGATCGGCCACCTAAAAGGCTCAGAGTGGTCCCTGGCCAATGGTCAACACTCAGTAGAGACGCTCTCCTTGACTTCGGAGCCTAATATTGGGTAGTCTGGCACCCCACCCAGCTTCACTGCCAAGGAAGTCAGATTATCAGGCTTCAACAACACTGCTTAATCTTTGTGGGGTCACAGATGGTTTAAAAACCTGACCAAGTGATAGGCCAGCTCCCCGGGAAAACACAAATGTACAACACCTTATTTCAGGAGTTCCCGGAACCTTTGAGGCCCAAGAGGAATCTGCAGGTCTCAGATTAAAGGATCCCGCTCCAGAGCTGGGGAAGAGGCAGCTCCACCAGGACCCCAGGGACTGGCTGGACTCCTGGTCTCCGCCCTGCACAACCTCTGCAGGGCCCTTGGGCTCCCGGGGATCAGCTGGGCTGATGTTGACACCCCCACCAAATCTCCCGCCAAACACGGGCTTGCTGGCCTGCGGCTTTCTGCTAAGAAGGAAGCAGCTCTGGAAAAGGCTACCCTAGAAGCCCTGGCCCTATCCAGGGGTGGAGCCACTGGGATTCTGGGTCTGGCCAGGAGGCAGGGTGCCGAGGAAGCCAGGTTCCTCCAGGTGGGAAGGAGGGATGTGGTGGCCTGGAGGAGCTGATGGCTCAACATTCTCCCCACCACCTGCAGGAGGCAGGCTGCTGCACTCCAGGTCTGGGCATTCAAGCCAATGGGGTTGACTTCATATTATGACTAATTACTGAGCACTGATCACGCAACAGGCACCTGGGTGAACGTCGCTAAACAAAGAATCATGACAATGTGGAATGGGCCACCTCCTAGCTGTATGTCCTCAGGCAATTGATTTAATGTCTTAGAGCCTCCATTTATTCATCTATAAAATTGGGGTAATAATGGTCCCTGCTATCAAGTGGCTGTGAGGACTAATGAGACAATGCAGGTTAAGCCCTTAAAACAGTGCCTGCCACACAGTGCTCAATAAATGGGGACCCTGGGGGTGCAGGGGTTAAGAGCTCAGCTGCTAACTTAAAGGTCAGCAGTTTGAATCCACAAGCTGCTCTTTGGAAATCCTATGGGACAGTTCTACTCTGTCCTATAGAGTCGCTATGAGTCAGAATCAACTTGATGGCAATGGGTTTGGTTTTATTTTTAATACTACTCCTAGGAGCTCTGGTGGCACAGTGGTTAAATGCTCAGCTGACAACCAAAAGGTCAGTGATTCGAACCCACTAGCCACTCCACAGGAGAAAGATGTAGCAGTCTGCTTCTGTGAAGATCATAGCCTTGGAAACCCTATGGGGCAGTTCTACTCTGTCCTACAGGGTCGCTAGGAGTTGGAATCAACTCAACAGCACACAGTAACAACACACTACTCCTGAAAGGTCCCTGGGTGATGCAGATGGGTTGTGTTGGACTACTACCCTAAAGACTACTGGTTCAAACCCACCCAGTGGCACCACGGAAGAAAGGCCTGGCAATCTGCTTTTGTAAAGATCACAGCCAAGAAAACCCTATGGAGCTCTGTTCTACTCTGTAACACATAGGGTTGCCATGAGTCAGAATCAGCTCCAAGGCAATGGTTTGGTTTTGGTTTTATAGTACTCCTGATAATAATTACTATTATTGTAGTCCCTGGTAAACCTTCAGGTGACAGAGAAAAGGCACTTTTATTTAGCTCCAGTACCGGGAAGCTAATCTATACTCTTTAGTAATGATTCTAAGAGATACTTTGTAATCGCCTATCACAGGTGCTTTGGGTGCTTATATCCCTTCGGCTCATCTAGAATCTTCCTGCAGCAGCGGACAGTCCTGTGTACCCACACAGTGTCCACCTCAAAGCCAAGGGTAGTTGTCCAGACCATTCACCAGAATTATGGGGGACGTTAATGACAGTGGGAGCTAGGAGTTGGTGGATAAATGCCCCAGCCCCCTGTCCTTCCGAGGGTCAATGCTGAGACTAATTTCACATGAGTCCTCAGAGGGGTCCTGGCAGGACTGAGCCCCAGCTGCCCGCGGTGGTTCCCAGCTCATTAATGCACTGCTCTGGCACTTCTGCCTCCCCGGCCTCATTCTCCCTGCCCTCTCCCCTGCAGGGGGACCACCTCCCAGGTAAACTACCTGCATCCAAGCCCTTGTCTCAGGCTCCACTTTCAGGGAACCACACCGAAACTCAAATACCATATACCAGGTACTGCGGGAGCTTTACACTCACTGTATTACTTCTCACAAACCTTATGAGGAAGATTCTGTTTTATAGATGAGGAAACTGAGGCTCAGAGAAGTAAAGTAATTTGCTTACAGCTACATATCTAGGAATGGGCAGAGCCAAGATTAAACCCAGACATCTGACTCCAGGGTCCAAATCCTTATATTTGCAGTGATTAAGATGGGGAAAGAGACAAGAGCATTGCCTCTCATGATCCCCTGCATCCATCTGGCACACAAATTGCAAACTTGAACACTTTCAGAGAACCAAGGAATGACTGTGAATATGTTATAGTGGCTGGGCCAGAGAGCAATAGGGAATGTTGGGGAGTGTGATGAACAGAAGGGACACTCCCACCTAAAGGGGCAGCCACAACTCTGTGAGGGGTGAGAGGCAGGGCCTCCAGGCAATTGCTGCCTGGTGATGTTGGCCCAGCATTGCCATATCTGACTTTTTAAAAGAAGTCAGAAATCTGGAATTTTATATTAAATTAGTTGGCAATTGATTGAAAAAAAAAAACTAAATAAAAATTCATCTTGAGGTCATTATTTGTAGACTCTGATCTGCTTAGGGCTGTACCTGGGGACCACGTGTCCCCACTGGAGAGAAAGAAGAGCCCTTTTGGGACGAGGGCCCCAGAGCCTAACCCAGCGGTGGCGTCCACTTTACCTGCATTGTGCTCATCCATCGAGAAGGCCTTGTTTTCCATGTAGGTGCGCGGCAGCTGCACATCCTCCTCGAAGGCCGTCTCCCGCATCCTTGGCTGTGACGTGTCGAAGTAGTTGGGTGTATTCTCTTGCGGGGCTGGGAGGATGGCGCAGTGGACCTCAGGGATGGCGTGGAAGATGACAAAGACCCAGCCGCTGGCCACCAGGGTAATGGCCAAGGTGGGGTCCCCCCAGGCCTCTCCCTGCTGCAGTGCAGCGTTGCCAAACAGGTACATGGTCATCCAGGCCACCCAGGTGAGCACAGAGAGGAAGGCCGTGACCAGGATGCAGACCCCGTTCTGCTTCCACTTCTTGAACTTGCCGCACAGTGTGCAGAGGGCCAGTCCCAGGGTGGCCACGAGCAGCACCATGTCGTAGATGAGGGCCATCACGAAGTCCATGGGCTCGTAGGCGCAGGCCGGCTTCGCATTGCGCAGCACCGTCAGCACGAGCCACTCGATGGCGATGATGACCTGCACCAGCATCAGGCACAGCGCCATGCCCACCAGCTGCCAGCCCGACGGGCTCTTGCCATGGCGCACCAGGCTCCGCACGCGCCATGCCTGGCTCAGCAGGCAGGAGAAGCAGAGCGCGAAGAGGACGCCCCAGAGGAAGCGGCGCACCGAGCAGATGGTCTCGTCCTGCCGGATGATGAAGGCGAACGTCAGCCCGAAGAGGCCCAGGGTCCCCAGGAGGAAGAGGAAGTGGACGCCCACGGGGTCCCTCTTCTCCTTGTCCTTGATGAATGGCAGCCGCACCAGGAGGATGAGCATCAGCAGCAGCGTGATCAGGGCGCCTGCCCCGGCCACCGCCTCCACCACGATGCCCCAGATGGTGTCCAGGTCACACAGGGACACGTACTGAGGGAGGAGGTCCAGCCCACAGCCCCGGGACGTGCTGGCGTTTTCGGAGGCCCCGGAGGTGATCACGAAGAGCAGGAGGAAGGCAAGGGCGTGGTGGGTTCTCATCTTTCTCTCCGATATCACTAATGGTCCAGAAAGCCACCGGGAGGAGGAGACAGGGAGAGGGGAGAAAGACCAAAGTCATTATGAGTCTCCCACCTTCCAGACTTCTTTAGAAGACCCACCTCATTTCAAACCTGCTAGTCCACATGGAGGAGCCCTGGTGGCACAGTGGTTAAGTGCTCTGCTTGGCGGCTAACCAAAAGGTCAGCAGTTTAAACCCACCAGCTGCACTGCGGGAGAAAGATGTGGCAATCTGCTTCCGTAAAGATTTACAGCCTTGAAAACCCTATAGGGCAGTTCTACTTTGTCCTATAGGGTCGTTATGAGTCGGAATTGACTCCACAGCAATGAGTTTTTTAGTCCACACGGTACCTGTGGACGCATTAGGAAAAGGCACTCCTTACTCCAGGCAGTGCAGCCCTCGTGGGGTAGGGGAGGACCACGCTGGCCCCCACCTGCAGCCCTGGTCGGAGCAGTGAACCTGCAGTGCACAGCTGCAGGAGAGGACACTTTCCCTCAGAGTCCCCTGCATCCATCTAGCACATGACTTACAAACTCAAACACTTCCAAGGAGCCAGGGTATTTATCTTATAGTGACTGGGTCTGGGAGCAATAGGGAGTGGTGGGGAGTGTGGCAAGCAGAAAGGGCATTCGCATCTAAAGGGGCAGCCACAGCTCTGTGGGGGTGAGCAGCAGGGCCTCCCAGCTGCCGGGTGGGATGTCGGCCCAGCAGTCCCTTTGCCCACACAGTGGCCTCATTAGTGACCAGGAATCATCCCTAGGTGGCTGGAGGACAGGGTAGGAGGGAGACTCAGTTCCTCTGTACACCACTTTGTATTCATTGCATTATCCACCATGTGCCATGTCTGATGTCTTCAAAAAAAAGGGAGTAGTGTTTCATCCTCTCAGTAATAACCATAAACATTTACCCAAAGGGAGTAGTGTTTCATCCTCTCAGTAATAACCATAAACATTTACCCGTGGCTCACTCTAGGCCAGGAACTTGACACCAATCAACACTTCCGGTTCTCACATCCATCCTATGAGGCAGGTGCTACTGTGATCTCCATCCTACAGATGACAAACAGGATGTCCAGGAGGGCATGTCACTTGCCCAAGGTCACATAACCCAACTCCTAGAAGCAACCCAACACCCCCTCTCTGAAGCCTCACAGGCATTTCAAGCTTAGTGTAGCTGATCCTCATTATTTGGAGATTCTAAATTTGTGAATTCATCCACTTGCTAAAATGTATCTGTAACCTCAAAATCAATAATCAAGGTGGTTTTGTGGTCATCTGCAGACACGGGCATGCATAAAGCGGTAAAAAATCTGAGTCACCCGATGCACAAGGCTGGCCCAGTATTCATTAATTCAGTGTTCTCGGGCCTTTATAGACCGTAACTACTGCAAATAAGGTGAATTGACTGTGTATTCAAAATGCAGGAACGTCCTAGCCACCCTCAATCTTGCCTCCACTCAAGCTGGTCTCCAGACAGCAGCCATGCCAGTGGCTTAACCCAAGTCTCCTCTCATCCCTTCCTGCTCCCTCTGCCTGGAATACCCCCCTTCCCTCTTTGCATGGAAGGCTGCTCCTCCCCTCACTGGTCTCGGTGCTAATGTCATCAGCTCAGACCTTGGCCAAGGTCACACCCCGATACTGTCTACCTGAGCCCCTTGTTGATTTCTTTCTTAGCTCTAATCGGATCTGTAGTTTTTTGCCTGTCTGCTTTGGTCTTCCCCTCCCCTCCTTCCTCCTCTCTCTCCACTAGCAGATGCAGAAGGGCAGGGGCATTGTCTTGTTCATCAGCATAGACCTGGGTTTCTCAGCCTTGGCACTGCTGACATTTGGGGCTGGATCATTCTTTGCTGTGGGGGGTGGTTCTGTGCACTGAAGGACGGTTAGCAATCCCTGGCCTCCACCCGCTAGATGCTGGTAGCACCCCTCCCCCTGTTGTGACAACCAAAAACGTCTCCAGACATTGCCAAATGTCCCCTAGTAGGGGGGCAGCAAAATCACCCCCGGTTGGGAACCACTGGTGTAGACTCAAGCACTAGCACACAGTGCCGGCACAAAGCAAGTACTGTATGGACGGAAGACTTATTCATCAGGCTCTCCCTCTACCCCAATGCCACCAGCTCCTTCCTTTGGAAGGGAGCCCGGCCCCTGCTCAGATGCTCACTTCTTCTCCATCTCACCCCAGCCTATTGCCTATCGCCACCCTGCTGGCAGCTCTGAGTGTCCCTGGGGCTTCCATAAGTAAATGCAGTATCGACCATCTCCCTCTTTGCTGCTTTACAAGGAGCCCGTGAGTGTCTCGGATCCTGCCTTGGTCATGGGGCCATCGATGGGGATAAATTATTGATGTTGCTGAAGGAGAAGGGGCCTGGTGTTGTAGAGACCGTGTCCTTTGCCTGTAAATGAGAGAAGGCAAGTGTGGGGTTTAAAATTAACTTTACCCAAAGAACTTGGTCTTTGGCCTTGGTTCCTGAGAGAGAACCTCCAAAACCTTGGAATTTCTCCAGTAATCATTAAGTGTCTTTGACGTGGGCTCCAGACCACACCTAGCCTAAAAGGTTATACCAATGAGGTGATTTAGGTTGGGGCTGGCCAGGCAGAAAGACCCACCGAGTGATATCAATCTTGTGATCACCTCGTGATATCGACCGACCTCAGTGGGGAGGGCTGGCGTTTGAATTGCATAATGAGACTCCCAATAAAGTCTGTGGACACAGAAGCTCCACGGGCTTCCTGGTTGGTGATAGACATCGATGCACGTGGGAGGGTAGCACATCCCTTTTTGGGATGTGGAAGCTCCTCATTGGGAACCCTCTCAGACCTCACCCTACGCATGTCTTCATTTGTATTCTTTTTGTGGTAAAAAACTGTAATTGTAAGTATACCACTTTCTTTGAGTCATTCGAGCGAGTTATTGAGCTCGAGGGAAAAGTGGGAGCCAGAAGGTCAGCAGTGAGGGGAGCTGGGGACTCCTGAGTTTACAGCTGGTATCTTGCATGGGTAGAGGGAGCCCCTTAATTTGTAGCCAGCGGGTCAGAAGTGGAGGTGCTATGGGAACTCCCAAGCTTACAACTGGCGTCTTTGGTCTTAGGTAGACTTGGCAGTCTGGAGGACTGTGTCCTTTAAGACTGTGTCCTTTAACTTGTGAGCTCTGACCTCGCTCCGGGTGCTTAGGGTCAGAGGAAGAGGTGCTGCCTGTGAAGCTGGTGTCAGAACAGAACTGGAGCAGAGGGGAACAGAATTGATAATACATTGATTTGAAATTGGGATTGGTCCTTACAGTTTGATGTATGAGCTAGGATTCTGACTTCTCAACTCAGCAGGCTCGGAATAGATGGTGAAGGCAAGAGGTGCTCCTATACAAGTATCCCAGCATCCTGCTTAAACAAATGAAGGATGAGGATTCACCCCAGACCTTGGCAACTGGCCCAAGATCCAGCCACTGTTTGCTGACATGGCACTGCTCACACGTCATGGCCTGCCACTATAGCACGTCACGCCCTGTCCACCCATATCTGTGCAGTTAGGTACTTACCGGGCTCACTGAGTCCTTTAAATTGACTCACTTAGAAGAAAACTTAACACATTAAGATATTTATCTCCTAAAATGTTCAAATTGCTCGCTGATATAACTCATGTAGCATACCCACTGGAATGTGGGTACCACCCTTTGGAAAAGCTCTCCTAGACACAGCTGCTTATTACTAGGCCCTATAAACACAATGGGAATCAAAATTGAAGAACCAGATGCATCTGAACAAAGTGCCATCAGCCCACCAACACAGTAGAGGGACTCTGGAGTGGATTTTTCCCAGACATCTCATCAGTGGCAAACTCAAGTAACACAAAAAGCACCCCCCACAGCCCCTCTAGGTAGGTCACACAGCAGCTAATCCCATTCTGAGGGTGGCTGGAAGGATGACAGGTAGGAATGTGTTTCTGGAATCTTGACCCCATCAACCCTCCTGTATACCCCTAAGGCCAGTGGTTCTCAATCAGGGCTATTTTGACACCCAGGGAACATTTAGACAACAAAGACCTCTTTAAAGTGTTAAAAAGCAAAGACGTCACCTTGAAGACTAAGGTGCTCCTGACTGAAGCCATGGTGTTTTCAGTCGTCTCAGATGCACGCAAAAGCTGGACAATGAAATATCGACACCTTTGAATTATGGCATTGGTGAAGAATATTGACTAGACCATGGACTGCCAGAAGAACAAAAAATTTGTCTTGGAAGAAGTACAGCCAGAATGCTCCGAAGAAGGAAGGATGGCGAGACTTCGTCTCACATACTTTGGACATGTTACCAGGAGGGATCAGTCCCTGGAGAAGGACATCATGCTGGGTAAAGTAGAGGGCCATCGATGAGATGGATTGACACAGTGGCTGCAACAATATGCTCAAGCATAACAACGGTTGTGAGGATGGCGCAGGTCCGGGCAGTGTTTCGTTCTGTTGTCGGAACTGACTCGACAGTGCGTAACAACAAATGCTCAAGTACTAACTGAAAAGTTGGCAATTCAGACCCACCCAGAGATGCCTCAGAAGAAAGGCCTGGTGATATGCATCCAAAAGGTCTCAGCCTTGAAAACCCTATGAAGCAGTTCTACTTTGCAACACATGAGGTCACTGTGAGTTGGAATCAACTCAGTGGTAACTGGTTTGGATTTGGTTTTTTAGAGACATTTTTGGTTGTCACGCCACTGGCATCTAGTGGGTGGAGACCAGAGATACTGCTAAACATCCTACAATGCAAAGGACAGCCCCCCACGCCAATGAATGACCCATTCTGAAATGTCAACACTCTTGAGGTCAAGAAGGGCTTGTCTAGACACTGAAGGACAGCGTTGACGGGGAAGATATCAGGAAACCAGCGGGGACTCACAGCCTCAGGGCCACACCCCATGTCTCTTCCTTGCAAGAACTCAGCCCTCTTGACTTCTCCTTCATTAGCTGCCTCCACGCACTTTCCTAGAAGGCAAGAAACCAATGG